ATGGCAGTGTTTATTATTATTTCTTTGGATTACATGTCCTGTTATGTTTTTTTTTAATTGTATTTTTTATTTCTTTTCGTTCTTTCGGGAGCTGTTTATTTTCGTATAGTACACAAGTAATTGCTTGCTATATGTGACATAAGTATTGAAGAGTCATTGGCTAGAAATGCAACTGACCACACTTTCTCTCACCTCATATTAAAATATGATTTTAAACTGTTATCTAGGAATAAAAGTCACAAATCTCTGCCAGAAATGCAACCAGCCCAATTTTACATACCTTGCGCAAGATACATTTGAAAGTCTCTAGCTGTTACTCATGTCAAGTGAGTAATTTTATACTATTTACAGAGCAAATAACAGGCCATTATATTCTTAACACAATTGCGCCAAACTAAGTGGTCTGCTAACTAAACAATGAATTGAATTGCAAAAGGAATTTGCTAAAATTAGGCAAACTTAACTAAGCCAGAAAATTCCTCATTTGCAATCTTAATTCCAGTATGCTTATTTTGGCTTTAAATTTGCACATTGGATTTAGTTAGTGTTTTAGTTACACATTGTTAGTGAATAATCCTGCTTGAAACTTCTGGTTGTCTGAAAATACTGGGAGTTGAAAAACACATAAGCTTCCAGTTGTTTGTTCCTGATAATTATTCTTATAACAAATTATTGAGAAAATGTCCACAGTGCATCACCTATCATATGTCATGTTTTATTACGCAGAGATTTGGTAACATTTAATTGAGAAATCACTGAATTTAAATGACTTACCATCTTTATCAAAGCAGTAAGCAGATAATGTCAGCAACAGTAGAATAAAAATCTTCATTCTTTTATTTTCCATTTTTTTCTCAAGTTGTTATTTAAGATCGTCGATTTTTCCTCCTCAGTTCTGAGGCTCCTTTTCTCGTTTTTATAGCCCTTGTTATCGTCTAGATTGAAGTCTGCCGTCTTATAAGATGCTTTATTACATAACATTGCTTCTGTTTTCTGCATTTACACTGCCAACATTCTTTTGAGGTCAGTTCATCTTTGGACGGGATATTGAAAGTTCCCGTGCCTTTGATGGGTTATAAGATATTTATTGCTTTTTTAACAATTGGAATTTTGATGTCTGTTTTCCAGAAGGACCATGAGCAAGCACTTTGCATTTCCTTGAAATATAATGTATTGAAAATTGTACACTCAGTGATTACTATTATTACAAATATGCTTTAAGCACCCCAGATATGGACATGGTATAAGAATTATAAATCAAATAGCGTTTGGGTGTTGCGAAATGAATAGGAAAGACGACCGGTAAATAAGTTGGTGACATAGCATAATTGGATTTTTTACCCACTGTAAAACCTTGGGCAGCATGTTCTATTCTGTCAGAGTATTTATATCGGCAGACATCTTGTGCTATGATAGAAATTAAAAGTGTATCTTCTGAGTCACTCTGAACAGACCAGACTCCATTTTGTTATTTTCAAGTTAATAAAGAGACACAAAATTTCTATCCTTTCTGTAAAACTAACCACTTTCCCAGAGCTAAAGGAATGCATAGTATATACAAACCAAGTGATAAAGAGAACGGGGGTTGGATAGACTGTCTAAATGGTAATGGAATAGATCAATATCTAAACACAGACATTTGTGACAGAAAAGATTAAATAATAAAATTTTACTTTCTATATGTATAAGGTACCATTGTACGGAAAAGGTGAATCTTAGTTCATGAACTGCCATATCAGAAATTATAGCAGAATTTGCCAGACACATAGTCTGGACAAAACTTAAAGAAACTGTTTGATCTGACAGAAAACTTAAATTAGGGCCACTATAAATATAAGCCAAAATGACGTCAAAATAGCCACCAGGAAAAGTTAACTCTTTCCTGGATAGGTATGTTTAGTGGGACAAGACTGCCCTCTATAGACCAAATACCTAAATTGCGATCCCTAGGTAAGCACACCTCTAGTGCTTCTATTGGGCTATCAACTGATGACGTACAGAGAGTCTGGCCCTTTAAAAGTTAGGACAAAGGGAAGACAGAGGGAGGCAAAGGAGAAAGAAGAAGGTAGACGAGGAATGCAAGGGTATGCAAAGAAAGCAAAGAAGTGAGCAGTCGGGAGCAATCACACTCTAGGACACTCAGAAATTCCTACACACCTCCATGCAGAGAGACATCCAAATAAGTTCCTGAGACTATTACCAATCGGATGAAATATCTACTCAACTGGTAATTATACTGGTTTCATTTAATTAATTAAATTAATTAAAATTTACTAATAGCATGATATATGACTGGATAAATCACGGTCAGATTTCCATATTAAGAAATCTTAGTTAACTAAAGAATATATAGTTATAAACATTCCATTCTGCAGGTGGAATTAAGAATAATTATATATTGATGTGATATTATCACGTGTTAGCATACCGCTGTTTTTATCCAGGTGTATTGATTTGCTCTAAATTAAGATAAGATATCTTTTAGACAAATTAAACTCTGCTTATATAATATGGTAGATTCTCTTATTGGATGGTTCCAGGAAATGACTAATGAACTGGTTTAAATGTTATTTTATTTAAAATTACATAAGAATAGATCTTAATTACCTAGGAGATCAAGCCAGCATTGAAAGGGTTATTCAGTTATTCTAACTGTTAGCCAGGGTTTTATGGCCCTTCACTGTGAAAAGCTTCGCTTTCTCTCTGTGAAAGATACCTCATAAATTGTGTAAGACTTGACAGAAAATGCTGTTTAGCCATTGAAATGTGTATAGCCATTCCTTTGTATTGCATACCATTTTATACTGGATATTCCTTGATTATTGTCACGCATGTTACATAATATTATTTGTTAATTATTGGTTATTATAAATAAAATCTATTTTTATAACATTGTGATTTATTTATATGGAATACTTCTCACTTATGATAACGATCTTTGGGATCTGAGAATTGAATTAGTGTGCAATTCTCACTGTTTACTATTATTATCCTATAACAGAGTCAGTATAGCCACATCTGTGATGAGCTGTTGATTTGGTTTTGTAAGTGTTTGAATCCACTTAGAAAAAAAGTCAATAGTTATTATTGGCCTTGTAGTATTGTCAGCATACTTATGTCTCATTTAGTAACTAAGACACATTTGTCTGCTTGGTAAATATAGTATTACATAGAGAAAGACATCCACCCATAATCAGTGACATTACAGATACACGTGCCTACAAAACATCTCTAATTTCATTCTCTCCGTCAAATCTAAACAACTATTTAAATCCATGTTATTGATTCATATGAATGAACCCCTCCACTAAAACTACTTGAAAGACATTGCAATATGTTTTATGGATAGAAAATTGAGTCTTCACAATTTCAAAGGCTTCTGGGTGTATTGTAGGGGAGTGTGATCTCAGTTTGAGCTATTCAGTGCTAGTATGCAGTGATTTGTGTGCAGAGGAAGTCTTTGGTAGTTCCGTTGAGTACAATATTTAATGGCTCACAGGTCTAGAACTTAAAGGAGCACTATAGGGTAAGGAACACAAACATGTATTCCTGACCCTATAGGGTTAAAACCACCATCTAGCCCCCCTGGCCCCTTCATGCCTCCCTAAAAATAGTAAAACTTATTTGTGTTCAAGTCTGCAGCTGCATATTTTGTGCCTGTTTCTTTTAGACCTGCCCACTGCCTGCTGACATCAGCAGAAGTGGTAGCCCTATCCAATCACAGCGCTTCCCCATAGGATTGGCTGAGATTGACAAAGAGGCAGACCAGGGGCAGAGCCAGCACAATTCAAACACAGTCCTGACCAATCAGCATCTCCTCATAGAGATGAAATGAATCTCTATGAGGAAAGTTCAGTGTCTGCATGCAGAGGGAGGAGATACTGAATGTTTGGATGCATTTTAGGCAGCCATGACCCAGGAAGGATCTCTAACAGCTATTTGAGGAGTGGCCAGTGAAGTTATCACTAGGCTGTAATGTACACACTGCATTTTCTCTGAAAAGACAGTGTTTACAGCAAAAACCCTGAAGGTAATGATTCTACTCACCAGAACAAATTCAATAAGCTGTAGTTGTTATGGTGACTATAGTGTCCCTTTATTCAGAGGTCAGCTGTCCCTATTAGCTATATGTTTGAACATCAAATTAAGTAGGTCCACACCCTTGCATTAGAGTGGCACATTTATTTAATTGAAGTGGCAAAATCCCAGGATTATAAATTGGCTAATTTGGGAGTTCTGGATGTTATTTTTATTGCTCAATTTTCAGAGTGGCACATTGCTACGTGTATTTATGATTTTTTGCTAGTTACATTGAATTTGCTTATTCTTGTTATATACAGTCCTTCTCAAGGTAATACATGTGTAGGCTTTCCCCTTCATAAAACAAAGACACAACCACCACAGAAATCATATTTACACGTTTGTCATGACTAGAAAATGCTGATGTGGATTTCTTATGCTGCTACCTCATTCACTATCCAAGAAACTAATACTCTGATGATCTGATAAAGACTGGCCCAATCCTATGCCCTTATTCGTAAGTCACCTTACTACACTGGTGTTTTTAAAACTTCTCTATTTATATTAAGTGACTTTTGATTTTGCTTATATTTATGACATATACCGGTAAGTACATCTCCTTTCTGCATACATTATAATTTCAGTGCATATTTTTATTTATACAAACGAATGGCACATTGTGTATCCAACGCTAGGTGTAAAAGCAGCATTTTATTTTTAAAAACAAGACATGTGAATAAAGCATGTTATGGTGTCTAGCAATAACCTGTGTGTGATACAAAAAGAAACAGTGAATACAGCTTTTTACCCATGTTAGTTCAGAGACAATCTCAGAATATATACTGGATTTATTTCCAAAGAGTTGTCTGGCTTTGCTGAGCTGTTAACAGCATGCAGTAGGCTCCCAGTACACCTAATTAAAATACACCAAGACTTTCAACTCCATCACTCTGGCCTTCACCATGGATGGATTCATCATTTTATTTTTCTCCATTACGCCTTCCAAAATATCGTCTGTAAGCAGCGTCGAAGCCAAATCTCATTGCATATCGTTCGCAAGGATCGTAGTCCTCACAAGTCTCGCGCTGTCGTTCCCGGGGGCTCTTATTGCGCTCACGGACTCTAGAGAAATCATTAAAGACCTAATTATACTAAATGACTTATTCACAGTACTAGCTATATTATAGATGCAAACAATGAGAAATTTTGACCACAACATCTTTATCCATCTTACCCAATTTAGCAGTTACCTTCTCAACAACCTAATCCTTTCCTATCCCCTAACTCCAAGGCCTTCCAAGATCTTATTTTGCTTCTATGTGCTAGGTAAGGTTGTCCTTAAGTCACCTGCAATTATTCCAACTCTTTTCTCATTGGCAAGTTGATCTTCTCATGTTTTTTTAAGAGTCCTTGTTTTGCCAATCCATCCAACACTTTTAGCCTAATCCCATGCTATCAATATTCTTCAAATAAATGATCCACCCATCTCTACTCCTTGCCCATTTTGATTTGATAAGAGGAAGCATATCTAAGGCACTTATAGAAATGTCTCCAGTGTATTGATGACACAAGAAATTACATTTTGTAGCTCTATGGAAAGTTCTAGAACCAGAAACAGCTAACTATAATAAATAGATATTGCTGAGTCATTAAACTAACTTATCAGTAATCTCTCCTTACCTTTCATTCATGCGTATGTTTCTGTGCTGGGAATTCATAAATGAATTGGCATTCCTTGAGTTTAAAAATGGGTCTGGAAATAAATCAAATTTCTTCAATTAATATAATTACATGTTACTTACTCATCTGCATTTCCTCATACTGAAAGGCACTAACCTGTACTACTTCATCCTGAATTTGCCTGAATTACATCTTATCGAAAGACTTTCCTTATCAGCTTCCAAGAATCCTGATTTGTGGCGTATTGCCTTCATTGAAGAATCTTAACTGCTTCAATTGCTGCATCACTGCATGATCTCGTAAGCAACCTGCATTATATTATTTTGGAATATACCTACTTGTTTCAACCTCTACAACTCTGCATGATCCTGTATTGCTTAATCCTAAAAGGTATTTACCTATAACTAGCTGCATTGCAAAGTATCCTGGAAATCCTTAACTACTTGGTATAACTTCAAGCCTGCTTGTATACAAAAGACTTTATTCATTTACTTATTAAATATCTTGTTTGTGGCATATCGACTAAACCCTGTTTTTCTCAAAGTATCCTGTTTGTGGCAGACTGCTCTTTATTCTTTATTTTCAGTAAATTTTGTTATGTCTAATACGACAAATAAGATTTTAACCAATAACCCTTGCAATCGTCTCCTCTCTGACCTGCTTAGGAGCATGACAATTACTTTGTTAGAAATACAATTTTACAACATTTCCAACAAAGTTATGTAAAGACAATTTCAGATGCTAGAGTCACATTAACCCATTCTCTTGTACAACTCTTCTACTCTACTTCTGCTTTCTCATATTTATGAGGCTGTTATGGAAAGGGTCAAGTAGAACTATTCTGAAATAAGTCCTGCGCTCAAACTCCCACTACTCCTAGGCGGCAGCAATAACCGTAGTACCCATCAGCCCCAATACATGCAATAAAAACCAAAGAAAACAGTTACTTGTGCACTATTCCAAATCCGTATGCATAATCAAATAACTGAAGGTTTTTAGTATCACTCCAATGGCCGTTAGATTGTAAGCTCACCTGCCATGTCAAGGGGCAAACCTCTTATGTGAGTCCTACAATAACAAATCACATTGCTTCCTTGAGCTTCAGGTAAAGAAATCTCAAAAGAGACCCCTCTATTAGAGATATTTTACCTGAAGCTGAAAGTAGCAAGGTGAATTGTTAGTGTAGGACTCACCTAAGAGGTTTGCCCTTGACGTGGCAGGTGAGCTTACAAACTAATGGCCTTTGGAGTGATACTAAAAACCTTTAATTATTTGATTATGCACAGGGATTTGGGATAGTGCACAAGTAACTGTTTTCTTTGGTTTCTATTCTGAAATATGTCTGCTCAGAAATACTTGGTAGCCTCTTTACACATTTGGACCATATGTGTTTTTTGGCATCGAGAGTGTGATATCATAGTGCTGCATGCTATCCATATGGGCGAGACTTTAAAAGGTTTTTCTTTTTTTTTCCTTTTTGGTAGACTTGTAGGATTAATTGCTTTTGAGTCACTGCCCTTATATATTGTTATATTATATCATATGCCATTATCTGGCAGAGTTGCCTTATTTGTCCTTTTAAACCTCTTACTTTTTTTTACAGTGTATGGTATTTGCTTACCTTCTGCTTGGAACTGGTTGGGTTTACAAGGTAAGATTGTATAGGTATTATTGAATATAAATTAATTATTAATAAATATCAGTTTTTTAAATTTTTTTACAACTGCAATGTGATTGTAAACTATAAAATGTTAAAGGGACACTATAATCACCTGAACAACTTTTTAGCTTAATGAAGCAGTTTTGGTGTATAGAACATGCCCCTGCAGCCTCACTGCTCAATCCTCTGCCATTTAGGAGTTACATCCCTTTGTTTATGAACCCTAGTCACACCTCCCTGCATGTGACTTGCACAGCCTCCCATAAACAATTCCTGTAAAGAGAGCCCTATTTAGGCTTTCTTTATTGCAAGTTCTGTTTAATTAAGATTTTTTTATCCCCTGCAATGTTAATAGCTTGCTAGACCCTGCAAGAGCCTCCTGTATGTGATTAAAGTTAAATTTAGAGATTGAGATACAATTATTTAAGGTAAATTTACATCTGTTTGAAAGTAAAACCAGGTGTTTTTTTTTCATGCAGGCTCTGTCAATCATAGCCAGGGGAGGTGTGGCTAGGGCGGCATAAACAGAAACAAAGTGATTTAACTCCTAAATGACAGTGAATTGAGCAGTGAAATTGCAGGGGAAGGATCTATACACTAAAACTGCTTTATTTAGTTCAAGTAATTTAGGTGACTATAGTGTTCCTTTAAAGGACCACTATAGTGCCAGGAAAACATACTCGTTTTCCTGGCACTATAGTGCCCTGAGGGTGCCCCCACCCTCAGGGTCCCCCTCCTGCCGGGCTTTAGGGGGAGGAAGGGGTTAAACTTACCTCTTTCTCCAGCGCCAGACGGGGAGCTCTCCTCCTCCTCTCCTCCTCTTCGGCTGAATGCGCATGCACGGCAGGAGCTGCGCGCGCATTCAGCCAGTCCATAGGAAAGCATTTACAGTGAGAAGCGCGTAAGCCCTCTAGCGGCTGTCAATGAGACAGCCACTAAAGACTGGATTAACCCATTTATAAACATAGCAGTTTCTCTGAAACTGCTATGTTTATAGATAAAAAGGTTAAACCTAGCTGGACCTGGCACCCAGACCACTTCCTTAAGCTGAAGTGGTCTGGGTGCCTATAGTGGTCCTTTAAAGCATATAAGTAAAGTAAATTTTTTTTTTTTTGGCAGAAAAATATTTCTTCTAATTCACTTTATATGTATGGGTGTTTGTTTGATCTACTGTATTTGGTTTTAAACTTAGTGTAGAAGACCATTTAACCTTATGTGCTTCCTTCTGTAATGCATATGAAAGCACAGTCACCATGTTAATCAACGTCTGATACTTCCTCCCGTCCTGTCCTCCTGTCCTGATTTTTCTAACATTCATTGATTAAATTACACAGCAGGAAAAGTTGTAAAGTGCTTCTAAGAAGAAAAGCCCATGAGTTATATAGTACCTGCATTTGCACAACAACCACAAATATAGAACAAAAGAAAAAAACAAAAACAAAAAAACACGTAGAAAGAATTATGATTTTTTATTTTATATATATATAATAAAGCACATGATAATAAAAAACATGACAGACTCTGGACAGGTTGTACCCCTTATGGCATGTGCTTTCTTAAATCTGTAAAATCTTTAAATAACAGGTGTAGCAAGTACTCAAATTGTTATGACGTATAATCTATAAATAAACTGATTTCCTCTTACCATATCGTTCAAAGGACTCATGGCTTTCATAGGATTCTAAATAGAAAATAGAAATACTCATTTTAATGCATCAAACCATAAAAGCAATAACTGAGGGAATGTGCTGAGCTATTACACATTATTTCACTAAACAGACATTTAGCTGCATTGGAAAATTATCAAATTCACCTTTTTTATAATTTGTCTACATTGGCCTAAATTGTGAAATTATTTTATTATACACAGGCTGAATCCAACCGCAATGATGATCTTTAATTTAATGTAGGAAGTTGTTAAAGCCCAGATTACTACCCCAGGCCTCCCAACAGTCCTGATTTATGTGGGACAGTCCCTATTTTATAGACCTGTCCCGTTGTCCCAACTTTAACCTCAGTGTATTATTTTTAAAACTTTCCTAATAATTTACTAATTTTGGATAACCTTTTCAAATGATTTTCTTAACATAATAACATATCAAAACATATATGAAATATAAAAAATATATTTAAAATAGATAAATAAATAAATAAATAAATAAAATACTTTTGTATAGATAAAAAAATAAATAAATTAAATACTTTTGTTCCCTAGTGTTCTGCCACGGAACTTTTCCCTAGAGGTGCAAAGTGAGCAGGACCTAGAACGCCAGGCTGATCTGCCCATTCTTTTGATGCCTTTTTGATGGGCAGATCCACCCCCTTTCAGTAGCGCCAGTGACACAACTTGCATCACTGGTCCGCCTCCTTCGCTCCCTCCCAAGGGCATTCTGGTGTATGTCGATGTTCAGAGATATGCCACTCAGTATTTCTCAAAATGTGTATGAACTATGATTTTATTGCAAATACATATTAGTTTTTTTTTTTACTAAACAAACTTTATTACAGAGTTTCAAAAGTTAGGCCAAAATGTCCAAGTATCAAAACATCTTCAAAACAGTTGCACATTTTTATAAACCTTGGCTATTTTGGTCTCCATTTTGTAACTCATGCATCAATTTACTACAATTTACTAAATACATACTTTAAAAGTATCTCTCAGTACAATAGAAGCTACACTTCATGTCACATGTTAGTTCACTGATCTAATCTAAATTTGAGTTTGATCACAAATTAAAAGCAAGCAATTAATTAATTTTACCTCTTCTAAAGTGCAACAGTCACTTTTGTGTCCGCTGCCCTTTTGCAAAGAACTCAAATGATACATGTGTATCATCATAAGAATTGTGCTAGATCTGAGGACAGCCTATATAAAACTTAGCCCAGACCATAAATACAAATGAAAGACCCACTGAAGACAAAATAAGGGGCCAGGGCATCTATTATTAAAAACGGCACAAGCTGGTTTAGTGTTTTACATTATCACAAAAGAGATGAGAGGGCCTAACTGTTAAAACATGCACTGCTTAACAACCCAGCAAAAACGTCACTCTTTCAAGTGTATACTTCCCAGCATTTGAAACTATGAATGCAAATTTAAAGTCAGCCGCCTAAGGCTCAGAGGCTAGACTGGTAGAAATCATGAAGATACTTGGCCAATCTTGGCTCCATTCACTATACCAAAAGTGAAGAGTCTGCCCCAAAGGAGTAAACTGCCAAGGGCCCTGTAGGATCTTAATTCTTCTCTGCCTGTGACACCAAGTTCAGTCACCTCAATACTTTCTTGATTGGGCCAAATGCCCTGAGTTCCGTTTGTGCAGCCCAGACACACCTATTGTTATATTTGTGTTGGGCTTATTAGTAATAATAAAAAAATGGTACACCAGAAGGTTAACATGGGTCAGCAGAATAGGGGCCCACAATGTTGAGTGTGCCACTGAATGTGAACTGTTGGGAAATGTGAAACAGAGCTGCAACAAATAAAATATTTAGTGTAATGTGGAAGTGCTATGTGTGTGTTACATAGATCTCGTAGTGATTTCCCTAAAATGGCAAGTGAATTATCTCTGCTGTCCTTTAGCAACAAATTCCTCATAGAGATACCCACCAGGATAAATTTCCTTTCTTATTTCCCATGCATTGCCCCATTTCACATTCTAAGGCCTCTCTATCACAATAGCCCTGTGCTTGCAGATAAAACTTTAGATATTATGTCGATGGCTCTATCACATTTTCTGAATTTCTGTCCAAGGCATTCATTATCATATCATCTTTTTAAAAGTAAATAAACACTTTGTTTTGAATTTCCAGACTTCCAAAATCTAGATTTAAGAAATCATGGTTTTTTTTCCTCATTGAAAACTGTGGACTTCATGGAAACAATTGAAACCTGAGGTAGTGAAAATGTGCAGTATCTTCTTATAAGATTTAAAGGGGCTATTATCAATGTCTGTCACAGTAAAATCTAGCAATAATGTGATAAAATAACAATAAATAATTCTCAATTAAAAAAATTAAACATAGTGAATGGCTTTATGAGTCACTCAAGTTTTAAATAACAGCCAACTATGTAGAATTTTTTTTATACATTTGTTAAAGTTGCAGAATATGTCTTTTAGTTCCAAAAGCTGGCGAGTAGTGTCTGCATTTAATAAAAAATAGAAGAATGCAACCCAAAAAAAGAAACAATTTAGGATATTTTTCATTGTAAAATCAAATGTGTTTGCTTTTTACTAAAGGTTTATGATACATATCTGGCAATCTTACTTTCACCAAATGTATTGTTTATTAACAATATTCCTCTCAGTGTATCTGAGTGTTAAACACAGGGTTTTTTTTTTTAATAGATTGTTTTTTAAGAGAAGAGCCTAAGATGTTATTTAAGCTTTGGTCCTTTCATGGTATACGCTTATTATAATAACTGACAATTTCATAATATTTATAAAAACTATATGTGAAAAAATGAACTTACAGAAACACATTTAAAAAAAATATATAAACTGACATTAAAAATAATTATAAAAAAAAATGTTTTAGAACTGCCTTTCTGAGGTTATAATTATAACATAGTCTGCATACTTGAAACATACTAGTATATTGTATAAATACGCAGACTATGTTGTCCCCTTACACAAGTAAACATAAGTTTAAAAGAAAAAGGTAAAAAAGGTAACTTTTTTTACTAGCAAAAAATATGAAGCATAAAGGTGCTTTATTCGGAATAATAATAATTATTATTTTCCTAAGCTATTAATATAAAATGATTACAATGTAAATTCGTCATACCATAGGCAAGGGCCACCACTGCTGCCAGTGACAGGAACACGAGAATCGGAAGAGACTTCATGCTGTCCTCTTGCTGAGCTGTGTTTGTACGTCTCTCCTTGGTTTTAGAGCAGATGGAAACTTAGCTGGAAAAGAGAGCAGCTCCAATGTATAACAGAGTAGTGTTTAATAGCAATGTCCACGTGTGGGATGGGAGGCAGCTGGAATTTAGAGAGTTATGCGTTGGCAAGGTTTATGCATATCAAACAGGGCAGTGGTGGGAATATAGGTGGGCAATAGCGAGCATAAACGGACATTGGAAAGACAAAAGAAGTAGGTGGAACCTGTTCTCTTGGAAAAAATCCATCATCAGATGTAAAATTTGACTGGAAATTTAATATTGTTTCCAAATTTTTAGAAACATTTGAACACCTGTGGGATGCATTATGGTAATGTTAATGTAATCCACATGTGGATTTTGTTGAATTTTACTTTTAGATAAGAGAGCAATGATGAATAGATGTAGCAAATCAAGATACCACAAATGTCCTTGAAATATATATTTCCCTTGATACTCAGCCAGCCATTGACTCGGGTTCTCAATACTATGAATTTATTTATTCATAAGAGGACAAGCCCAAAAAAATATTAATCAATGTGATTTTTCCATTGAAACATGCTTATGTCACACAACAGTTTTTTTCTCTAACAGTTTAGAAAGAATCTAAATAATATTGAAAGAGAAGATGGAGAGCACAGAGCTAAAAGAAACCTGACTGTTAACGGGCACTCTAGACTCGATTTGTCCCATTTAATGCATAACACAACTTTCATGATTTTGCTGCAATTCTAAACATTTTCAGCATCTGCAGTGAGCTTGTACCAAATCACAAAGTGATTTAACCAATGTAATCCTACCATAGCTTTCTACCATAGTTTTCTTTCTGGCATAGCACAGGTTTCTGGGAGTAGTAATTGTCTTTTGTACAGCAGAAAGCTAACAAATGAAGTACAACTAACAGAAACCTATGAAATCATGGATAATAGTTGTGTAATTTGAGCAAAAGGGAAACACGTCAGGTTGGATAGGTGAACTTATGCAGCAAAACTATTTTTTTTTCCCACAAAAAGATTCATTTAAAAAACTGTCTGTCAAAAACATATCTAACCTACACATTGCACTAATTTTTGTGGGTGCTTAGAGTGCACATTTAAGGGATTACATTAAGATGACAAATTAATTTTAAAAAAAAATATATATATATAAATAAGTAAAAAAATAAATAAAACAAAAGGGTGGTGATTTGAAGATGGATGTAGGACATCTCTGAAGTGAGGTAATGAAATGTTACATTATAGTGATATTAGTTCATCAGGATAACTGGTAAGCTAAAATAGTACTGTAATACAAGAATGCTTGGGATGTGGAAAACAATATTCTGACATTCTAAATTCTGAAATTCCAATGCTTAAAAGTCAGAGGACTTATCATCACGGTCTACGTCTGTATATTTATCCCCTTTATCCTCACCTAACACACATATCACGCTCTCAATAAATTCTGATGATACATACAGGTTTATAAGAGAGCCTTTACTATACCAGGCTAGCAAAGTAAACCTTATATTCTGCTTAGAGTTTTCTTTTTCTTTTTTTTCTTCAGTTCTAATTCTTGATATCTCCTACTGCATTCAGAGAGAGAATTGGCAAATGTGTTCATGTATAATAGCTCTCTTTAATTACTCACACATGCGAATTAAAAAAAACTTCTAGAACATGTGCAGTGCCGGTGTAAGCAACATTTCATGCCCTGAAATAATGTATGCTTCTCTTGCAATAATGTGTTCTTTGATTATGTTAAATAAAGATAACATTCTGCTAATAGCTGCAAGGTCAGTGTCATTCACTATAGGGAAAACATTTGGTTTTATGGGAGAAACACTCAGTTTGCTTCTCTGCTAATGCCTTCTAACTTTTCTTACCCTGTAAGATTAACCATGAGGTAAGTTTTGAAGTAGGTTAGTTTGGAGGGTGGGATAATGGACTATAAAAACTTGGCTGGAGCACCTACCTCCTAATCCTATCAGGTCTTGAAATAGTTTGGTTTTGGAAGATGGGTTAAAGGACCATGCATAAGATTTAGCATGGAGACCACAAAGAACGTCACAATCAAGGCAGCAGTATTAATCATATGGCAACCCCAATAGGGTCCAAGGGTCAGAAAGGGGCCCTCAGAACCATGAATTTGTTTGGCCCCATTTACCATCCCTATGTTAAGAATGAAGGTGGTGCCCCAAACTGGAACCTGCCTATGGGATCCTTCTCTGCTCCCAATACAGTTCTTAAGGTAGCTTAAACATGGAAGCCCATCAGATATTCTAATGTACCAGTTGCTTAACGTGGATACTTGCAAACTACATTTCCTACGAGCCTCTAGGTACTGACAGAAGAGGGGAAATGTTAAGAACTATATAGTTCTCTCCTACTTGCTATATATTAATCTGGAAATAATAAAAAGTTAAACTTAATTAAAGACAAATAGTATCCCTCTGACTACACTTTCAATGTGTTTTTGTACACAGGATAATATTCCCCATTATTAAATTAATCACATAGACAAGTGGTGGAAGTGAATACATCCCAACAACATCAGTTTAGTAATATATTTTGATTTTTAAAACAGACCATTTTCTATGAAGATATCGGAATCATCTACTGGGGTTTACAGGCTGTTTCCATGTAGGAAATTGCAGCTGAATTCCATTAGATAGATTGCCTGGGGTAAGTTCTTTATATTGTTTGAAGAAAAGTAAAACCTGTCTTTGACTTCTATTTCAGTTTACTCTAACCTAAAAACATTCAGTTCTCAATGAGCAGTTATACATTTTTTTGCTTTATATAATTACTAAGTTTCTACTATATATCTGTCTCAAAATAATTGTGAGTATTTCTAAGTTTTAAGAAGTGAAGCAATTATTATGGGAATAAGTGGAATGTTCTTGATTCCACTGCACATTGTGCATTTTATCTAAACGTCTACCTATACTCTAAAATGTAGAGAGGATCAAAATGGCTAAACCATACATGAATTGCATGCAATAAAGCATGGTCCTTAATGTCCACGTAAGCCCAAGAAAAATTGCTAACTTTATATAAAAGGAATACCATGTCATGCTTACCAACTATCTTCACCTCTGGTGAGAAAATCTGGAGATATCTGAACTGAGGTGACATCCCTATTTATTCATTTAGCTCTTCTCCACTCCTCTTTTTGCTTCCACCTCCCATTCCTTAACTTCATCTCTTTGTCTAAACACATCCTTTCCTCTGGCAGGAAATAACAAACCAATCTCACAAGCATGGACAACACATGGTCTATAACTGGCTGCAGACCAGCAATAAGACTTCTACAGACAGTATAGGGAATGGTAAGGTTGTGGCTGCAGTATGTTTATCTCCTAGAACAGGTACATGTACAAGAGCCAGTGACCACTAGATACAAAGTCTGGAGTTTCTTTCCAAAGTATGATGTTTGCCACCTTAGTTATAAAATTTTAAAGTCACGTGAGATCATTCTATTCAATTAATAGCCACTGTGTTTAAAATCTGAATACAGATGTAGGAATTAAAGTGGTTTATTCTGTAAGTTGGTATTTGCACACTTGGAAACTTCAAAATGAAGTCCAAAAAAAAAAAAAAAGTACATATTCATGACAAAATAATAAAGGTAGTAGAAGTAGATCACTCAGCTGCTGTGCTCTCAATTGATTTAAAAGGCTGTATGGAGAGCTCACTTTGAGCACTACGTACAGCTCATCTCAGTCCACACCTATAAAGCACTGACCAATTCTTGCCCCTCCTATATTTCTTCACTGATCCGCAGGTATGGCATTTCTCGGTCTCAGGTATGACCTTCTCCTGTCTGCTGCTCGCACCCGTACAGCCAACTCACGCTTGCAAGACTGCTCGTGGGTGGCTCCTTTCCTGTGGAATAGCCTGCCTACGACCATCAAGCTCTCCCCTACTCTTCAATCATTTAAAAAGTGCCTCAAAACCCATCTCTTTAGGAAAGCTTATGGCCTTCCAGAGAAACCTCTACCTCAAATACCTGTCCCTTGCTCTCTCCTAAAGGGCAGCACTCTATGCTGTGCTTCCCTCCATCTTGTTTGATTGCTACCTCCTGTCCTGTTGGGTTTTACGCCCCACCTCCTATAGACTGTAAGCTAGTTTGAGCAGGGCCATCTTCAACCTATTGTTCCTGTAAGTTTTTGTAATTGTCTCATTTATTGTTAAATCTTCCCCTTTGATAATAGAAACATAGAATGTGACGGCAGATAAGAACCATTCGGCCCATCTAGTCTGCCCAATTTTCTAAATACTTTCATTAGTCCCTAGCCTTATCTTATAGTTAGGATAGCCTTATGCCTATCCCATGCATGCTTAAACTCCTTTACTGTGTTAACCTCTACCACTTCAGCTGGAAGGCTATTCCATGCATCCACTACCCTCTCAGTAAAGTAATACTTCCTGATATTATTTTTAAACCTTTGTCCCTCTAATTTAAGACTATGTCCTCTTGTTGTGGTAGTTTTTCTTCTTTTAAATATAGTCTCCTCCTTTACTGTGTTGATTCCCTTTATATATTTAAATGTATAATATTGTAAAGCGCTACAGTATATGCTGGCGCTATATAAATACCAGTAATAATAATAATATTAATATAAAGTACCAGTCTGTCCACAGCCTCTCCAACATAAATTAGATGTGGAGAGGTGTAATCTGAACATTTTAAAGGGGAGAAATACCAACAGTAAATTAATTTGAAATGGGTTTCCAAATGTGAAATACAACAGGTAACACCTTTCAATGCTGATAATGATAAATGCCAATCTTCCCCTGTGAATACCTCACCCAGATCACTCTCCCACTTTGTCATATATGGTAGTTTTACACCAAAAAAGGCATAGCACATGGAAAGGGTTAGTTTCCGGCCAGGATCTGAGATATAAACCTTTTCTAAATTTGATCATTTAAATTTTCTAGAACTCAAATCCTGGTCGGAAATCCCGAAATGCTCACTAA